TTTACTAATTTTATTTTGTTAGAAAGTCATTCTAGTATATTACCCCATATAAAAAGTACATATATAGGATTCAGTCAGATTTTTAAAACTTGCCTAACATAAGATTAAAATTGGAATAAAATAATAGATTAAGGATTAAAGTGGGACATGGGACCAAAGTGGATTGAGATTTGAGAGCAAAGCTCATGCATCATTTGTGGGACTATTAATCCACCAATTTTTCAATGCGGGCAGCTAAACCCACACCAAATTCTCATTATTTTGTGCTATAAAATAATCAACATTATCTAACTAATAAGACAGATAAGATTCCCGTTAACAAATGATAATATGAGACTAACAAGTAATTAAAAAAATTAAAAATGGAAAGACAAATATACCCCAACCAAGCCAAAGCTGTTCTTTCCAGTGTTCATCTATCAAAACGAAGATCGCAAAAATTTGAAAAAGAGAAGTTTTTTTTAAAAAAAAAAAAAAAGAAAGAAAGAAGAAGAAGAAGAAGAAGCAATGGAAATAGTGGAGAAAGAGAAAGAAAATGAATCAGAAAACGGAGAAGTTGAGGGATCGATTTGTGGGTACCACTCACTTCACCACCTTCTTTCTGCCAATCTCAAACCCCATCTTTTCCAGGTCACCACTTTCTCTAATTCGTCGTCTTTTTGTTGGTTATTTCGTTTCTGGGTTTGTAAATTTTGGCCTGATAAAGCAAATCTGTTCATTTTTCGTATCTGGGTTTCGTTTTATGTCGTGTGGATGATTCTCTGAATATGCACTAAGCATGTCAAAAGTCAAACATTGATACTCTGGCAAAGCAGTTTTTTTTTTTTTTTTTTTTTTTTTTTTGGGGGTGGTCTTTTCCCTCTTATTTCTTTGGTAATATAGGATCTTAATTATAATCTTCCCTACCTTCACTGAAATTGAATTAGTCATATCTCTTTCTCTTGTATTGCTTGTATTACTCATGTTTGTATGATCAAGATTACCTATGCTGTGACTATTTGGAGGAGTCACATTTGTTCGTCATAATTCCCTTACCAATTAAGATCAGTGACTGGTTTTTGAGTAGCCAACAGGGATTTTTTTTGATTTATTTTTTATTTTTTTGCTGAGAAGGCATGTGATAAGAAATTTTGACGGAAGATTTTGATGTTGGTTTTTCAATCCCATCATTGAGTAATGATTAGGCAAAAGCTATCTCTTTAACCAAGATAGTCAATTCAGATTATGTATTCTTGTATAGAAGCAAATGCTTAAATGCCCATGGCTTACATCTTTTGGCCTAGTGCTCCTTGTTTAGGTGGTTCCCTTATCTTGTAAATGATTCTAGGGGTTCACCTTTTTGTTGGTTTTATTAGTTTTCGTTCAGTTGAAGTTCCCCTTAATCTGTGTCCTTTGATTACTTAAGTTGAATATTCCACTTTGTGGTGAAGTTGCTTTATTATTATCATCAGATTTGCTCACCTTTTTTCAGGAAGTCAGCCGTTTGCTTTTGGGTCTCAACTGTGGAAGGCCACTTGAAACTGTCGCATTAACAGAATCTGCGAAAGCTCTTGCTTCAGAACACAATTTCGATCTCCAGGTGGGCATATCACTCCTGTAGCTTCCTCTTTGTATAATTTCGTTGAAGGACTTAGTTCAATGCCTTACTTTCTGGGTTATGTAGGTTAACAGATAATTAGAAAACATAAATTACGCATGTTGTAAGAAAGTTGATGATACAAATAGATTTATTGAGAGTTTCATTAGTCTATTTTTAATACTTATGCAGAATTGAATATCTTATATTGGTATACGTGGATGACTATATTGCGTGAATGGATCCCAAAAAATAAACACAAGTCCCATGTCAATTATATGTAAAAACAAATATAAAATTATAAGAACATTGAGCCACTCCACTTAACAGGTTAATCTTCTAAGATGGAAGCTCATACCCTTGGAAAGTCTAATTTTTGTCCCAAATTTTTGTCATTGGGAACTAACATATGGTGATTTTCAAGTCAGTTATCTAGTTCACTAATTGGTATCCAATTTTTTTTGGTCGGCACGAATTGGATTTTTGACTTCGACTTTTGTTTGTGCCGTATGGCCTCCATTTTCCAGGAGGTCTGAAATTTTATGCTAGTTTCATTGTCATCATTATTATTTTTTTGTCTGGACAGACCTTAGGTATTCATCTCTGTTGGAGAATCGGAATGACTCTATGAATATTTGAATAGCTGTAAAATATTTGTAATTAGGTTTGTTTTATTCTTTCTTGAGGTTATGTAGTTTAGGTAGGATAATCTCAGATTTATGGGGATTAATAGGCTGGTCTAGCTTTCCATAGATAGCAGCTGCTTCCTTGTATTACTTGTAACATATACCCTTTTTTTTTTTAAATGACATATACCGAGTTTCTAATCAATACAGAGATCATAATTTTCCCACAAATCTCCTTACTCTTTCCTCTATATATCACAAGTAAAACAATAAAAGCTAGCACAATTCACTTCAAATGTTATGACTTCCATGTTAATGAACCAATTTAAGTTAATATCATGTGTCTTTCATGCCGCTATCTTTTGGGGGACTAAAGTAGATTCTGGACTCTTATTTGGATTCTTATTTGAAAACAAGGTCACCAATTTTCTTTTGTTATTAAATAAATAGTTCTTACTGAAAGAACTTGGAAAATAGTCAAATACTCAATGCTTCTTGAGATAAGGCACCAAAGATGAGATAGTAACCATAGAAACTTGTTACACATACAGAAACATTTCACTAAAGATGAGATAGTTTCCCATTGGAATCTGTCTGAAGGTGAGCAAATTAAACATAGACTTCCTTGCTTTTTAGCCAAAAAGATAAAACCATACATTATTCTTCCTTTTCGTCTTTCTTTGGTGCAGAAACGCCTTTCCTATGGGGGGCTCACTTTAGACAAGTTTTACTGATGTAGGATTGAAACAAACTTAACGGTGATTCTACACGGATCACTGGCTATTCAATGAGCTCCATTCTAAAACTTCTCTCTTGATCTCTTCTTTCCATTTTACTTTGTGCATCCCTCTGGATGTACACGTCTAAATTCTAGAATCATTGATGTGGACCATTGTATGTTGTTCTTTGGCTTTTGGTATAGACTTTGGATTACAATCCCCATTTTGTTTTGTTTTGTTTTCTGGGTTCATGACAAACCTTACTTAATTGCCACTTTATTACTAGTTATTTTACCCTGAACTCATCTACAATTTCTTTCAGGCTTTCCGCTTTCAAGCTGATATAGAGTTATTGAGAGAACCTCGAGTGGTTAGGGTTGGTCTTATTCAAAACTCTATAGTGCTTCGAACTACTGCCCCCTTTTCAGACCAGAAGACAGCTATCTTTCAGAAGATAAAGAGAATCATTGATGCTGCAGGCACTTCTGGAGTCAACATATTATGCTTACAAGTAGGTCATTCCCTCATGCTTTTGTTAGGTGAACGTATGTGTGTGTGTGTGTGTGTGTAGATATATATGTCTATATCATTCTTATATCAACAACTTCACTCATAAAACTTAATTCAGGAAGCATGGATGATGCCCTTTGCCTTTTGCACACGGGAGAAGAGATGGTGTGAGTTTGCAGAGCCTGCAGATGGGGAATCAACACAATTTCTTCAAGACCTTGCGCAGAAATATAACATGGTTATAGTAAGTCCAATTCTTGAGAGAGATGTTAATCATGGGGAGACTCTTTGGAATACTGCCGTCATAATTGGAAATCATGGCAACATAATTGGCAAGCATCGGAAGGTAAACATATTAGTCCATCTACTTTTTCTCTTTCAAGCTTTGTGTTTCGAAATCATAACATTAATAGCATTGGGCAGAACCATATACCAAGAGTTGGAGATTTCAATGAGAGCACATATTACATGGAAGGAAATACTGGACATCCTGTTTTCGAGACGGCTTACGGGAAGATTGCTGTGAATATATGTTATGGGAGACATCACCCTTTGAATTGGTTAGCTTTTGGCTTGAATGGTGCGGAGATTGTTTTCAACCCTTCTGCTACTGTCGGTGAACTCAGTGAACCGATGTGGCCCATTGAGGTGATCTTCTTTAGCTTGTTTCTTTATGTCCATGAATCACTTCTTTTTTCTTTACTTCTCAACTCTAATAGCCATACAGTACCAGTTACCAAGTACCATACACTTTTGTACCATCAACCCCTAGCACAATTAAGGACTACAAACCTAGCTAGTATTTGTTTTAACAGTAATAAGTTGCTATAAAAAAGCCTAGAGTGTTATGCAGCAGATCTTAGTGGTGTAGTTTTGTTTTCTACCAGGTAGTTGGCTATTTTCTGCTCCAGTTTTCTTTCTTTATATTGCTTCACATTTGATTGACTTGATATTTGACGGCCTTGTAGGCCCGTAATGCTGCAATAGCAAATAGCTATTTTGTCGGGTCGATCAACCGTGTTGGGACCGAGACATTCCCCAATCCGTTCACTTCAGGCGATGGGAAGCCTCAACATGCAGATTTCGGGCATTTTTATGGTTCCAGTTATTTCTCAGCCCCAGATGCTTCATGCACTCCATTCCTTTCTCGCCACCAGGATGGGCTATTGATCTCGGACATGGACCTAAACCTCTGCAGGCAATTAAAAGACAAGTGGGGATTCCGAATGACTGCTAGGTACGAGTTGTACGCAGAGATGCTTGCTTGTTACTTGAAACCAGACTTTGAGCCCCAAGTCATTTCTGATCCCTTGCTACATAAAAAGTCTTTCTGAGTTTTAGTTGTAATTAGACTGCATTCTAAAATATGCAACTGAAAATAAGAATATGTGGCACGATGTCACGATTCATAGGAAATAAGCATTGGCTTATTGTGTTTATAGTCATGAAACTGTTTGGTCAATGGAATTAAGCAATAAAATGTTTCCTAATTCCCATGTCTCCTTGTTGTAGTTTATGAATGGAACTGCTTGATTGAGTATCATTCACTGTCCAGTCTAGTTGGTCTGTTTTTCCTCGTGGACGGCTAAACCCCCACCACTTTCTCCAATTATTGTACTATAAAATAATCAATATTGTTTGACTAATACTCCCATCATCAAAATAAATAATATAAGAATTTAAAAAATACAAAGGAAAGGCAAACATCTTTGAGTCGTACATCAACTCAGCAGAGTGTAGACGCCAACCAAACCAAGCTGTTCCTTCCAGTGGTCATGTCAAAGTGAAAGATCAAAAGAATCTAGAAGAAAACAGACGAAAGAAAGAAAAAGGCAATGGATGGAGCAGAGAAAGAGAATGAATTAGAAAACGGAGAAGATGAGGGATCCATATGTGGGTACTACTCACTTCACCGCCTTCTTTTTGCCAATCTCGAACCCCATCTTTTCCAGGTCACCACTTTCTCTAATTTTTCGTCCTTTTTTTTTAATATTTTCAATTGATATATTTGTTATTTTGTTTATGGGTTTTTAATCTTTTTGCCTTAAAAAGCAATTTATTACTTTTCCTATCAGGGTTTCTTTTTATATCTCGTGTGTATAATTTAATGAATATGCTTGAAGCAGGTCAAAACTCAAATGTCACAACTTTGATACTCTGGTTAAGCAGTTAGTTTTTTTTTTTTTTTTTTATTTCCTTAGTGGAACTAATATTCTTTTCCTCTTATTTTTTTAGTAATTTAAGATCCTATTTAAAACCTTCTGTGCCATCATTGGAATTCATTTCTCTTTCACCTGTATTGCTGGTATGACTGATATTGTATGATCAAGTTTACGTATGCTGGGACTAATTGGAAGGGTCACAATCTTTTGTCAAAATTCCCTCACCAATCAGGACCAGTGACTAGTTTTTAAGCCAACAGGAAGATTGCTTAATTTGATAAGAAATTGTAAGTTCTGACAGAAGATTTTGTTTTATTTATTTATTTATTATTATTATTATTATTTTAAATCCCATCATTGAGGCGTGATTGAGCATTAGTTATATCTTTAACCAAGAGAGTCAATATCGGATTCTGTATTCTTGTATGGAGGCAAATGCTTAAAAGCACATAGGCTTGCATCTCTTGGCCCAGTGCTGCGCGGTCTTGCGAATGATTCTAGGGGTTCACCTTTTTGTTGTATTATTAGTTTTCATTGAGTTGAAGTCCCTTTAAATGCGTATCCTTTTGTTTCTTTAAGTTGACATTTCCATTTTGTAGTGAAGTTGCTTTCTTATTATCGTCGGATTTGCTCACCCTTTTCAGGAAAAGTGAAATCCATATAGCCTTGTGGAAAAGTGAAATTTGCTCACCCTTTTAATTTCGAACGGAGCCGTGTAGAAAAGTGAAATCCATATAGCCGACCCCAATTAAATTGGGATTAAGGCTTGTTGTTGTTGTTGTTGTTTCAGGAAGTCAGCCGCTTGCTTTTGGGACTCAATTGTGGAAGGCCACTCGAAACTGTAGTGGTAACGGAATCTGCGAAAGCTCTCTCTTCAAAACACAATTTCGATCTCCAGGTGGGCGTCCCACTCCTATAACATTCCCAATATGTTTGAAACTTAACGGTGTCTCTACATGGATCACTAACTACTCAACGAGCTCCATTCTGAAACTTCAATTCTGTCTGGATCTCTTCTAACCATTGAGCTTTCACCATCCCTCCAGATGTCCACCTCTAAATTCTAGAATCACCTGCTGGGGGACCATTGTATGTTGTTCTTTGGTCATTGGCATGGACTTTGGATTACAGTCGCCCCTTTTTTTTTTCATGACAAACCTTACTTAACCCACCATATTACTTATTGTACTCTGAACTCATCTACAATTTCTTTCAGGCTTTTCGCTTTCAAGCTGATAAAGAGTCATTGAGAGAACCTCGAGTAGTTAGGGTCGGTCTTATTCAAATCTCTATAGTGCTTCCAACTACTGCTCCCTTTTCAGAGCAAAAGACGGCCATCTTTCATAAGTTAAAGAGAATCATTGACGCTGCAGGTGCTTCTGGAGTCAACATATTATGCTTACAAGTAGGTCATTCCCTCATGAGCAATGCTATAGGACACTAATAGTGTTTAGCACCACCCACTAATAGAAGGTGGGTCCCGCAGTATAGGACCCACAGGTGAGACCCACCTTCTATTAGTGATGGTGCTTAGCACCGGTGGTTCCCCCAAGCATTTTTCTTCCCTCATTTTTAAATTTTCGTTATTATATCATCGGCTTCACTCATAAATTTTATTCAGGAATTGTGGATGATGCCCTTTGTCTTTTGTACACGGGAGAAGAGATGGTGCGAGTTTGCCGAGCCTGTTGATGGGAAATCGACACAATTTCTGCAAGATCTTGCTCAGAAATATAACATGGTTATAGTAAGTCCAATTCTTGAGAGAGATGTTAATCATGGGGAGACTATCTGGAATACTGCCGTCATAATTGGAAATCGTAGCAACATAATTGGCAAGCATCGGAAGGTAAGCATGTTAGTCCATCTCCTTTTCCTTCATTAAGCTTTGTGTTTCGAAATCATAATCTTAATAGCATTGGGCAACCATGTAGATTTCAATGAGAGCACATATTACATGGAAGGAAATACTGGACATCCTGTTTTCGAGACGGCTTATGGGAAGATTGCTGTGAATATATGTTATGGGAGGCACCACCCTTTGAATTGGTTAGCTTTTGGCTTGAATGGTGCAAAGATTGTTTTCAACCCTTCTGCTACTGTCGGTGAACTCAGTGAACCGATGTGTTCTATTGAGGTGATCTTCTTTTGCTGTTTATCTGGGAGTTGGCTATTTACTGCATTAGTTTTCTTTCTTCATATTGTTTCACATTCAATTGGCATGTTATTTGACGGCTTTGTAGGCCCGTAACGCTGCAATAGCAAATAGCTATTTTGTCGGATCGATCAACGGTGTTGGAACTGAGACATTCCCCAATCCATTCACTTCAGGCGATGGGAAGCCACAACATGCTGATTTGGGGCATTTCTATGGTTCCAGTCATTTCTCGGCCCCAGATGCTTCATGCACTCCATCGCTTTCTCGCCACCGGGATGGGCTGTTGATCTCGGACATGGACCTGAAACTCTGCAGGCAACTAAAAGACAAGTGGGGATTCCGAATGACTGCTAGGTATGAGTTGTATGTGGAGATGCTTGCTCATTACTTGAAACCAGACTTTGATCCCCAAGTAATTTCTGATCCTTTGTTACATAAAAATTCCTGATTATCTGTTGCACGATTTTGCGATTCATAGGGAATAAACATTGGCTCATTGTGTTTATAGTCACGAAACTGTTTGGTCAAAGGAATGGAGTAAGAAACAAAAAAAAAAAAAATGAATAAAGTTGTATGGGCTTGATTATGAGGTCCCATAGTTCCATGTCTCTAATAAGAACTGAACTTGAATTGAGGAATTGAACAGAAAAGCAAAATTATATTGATGAAGTAATTGAAAGAGATTACAAGATAGATTGACAGACGTTCGAGAGGTCTGCTAGCTCTCCCAAAGGTTTTCCCAATTTACTCTAATTCATCCCCCGCCTTTAGTCGCTTTTTATTCCTTATATACTAGTACTAACTAGCTTAACAAACATAACAAACCAAGCCTAATAACAAACCACTAACTACTTATTATATTGATTACTAATTACTAACATAATCCTATCATTACTCCCTTCCCCAAGATACCTTGTCCTCAAGGTGTGGTCAAGTGACCGCAGTGGAATAACGCCATCTCCTTCCCATGTCGTTAGGCCCACCTTTCAGAATGTTGAAGGGCATTGCAATCCTTGAAGAGCCAACTTCAACGGTGACAAACCAAGGCGGAAAAGGTGCCACGAAAGTGTAATCGAGAGCAGAAAACCCATTGGAGCCATTGTTCAGTCCACGAAACATAGAAATTTTGGTTTTTGGAGTTACAAACTCGGAAATATCATATCTTCCATTTGCAGAGTGTCCAAGTCCTACTCCAATGAAGTCAATTTCTCCATCCCCAACCCCAGGAGTGCTGGAATTCCCAGACGCAGTCATATTTGGGCCAAAATTTGAGGACCCATTACATATCTTGCTGAAATTGGTCCCACTTTCGCTGAAATTTTTAGGCCCAACCCCTATTGAGCCAGAAGTAGGCCTAATAATGTTGGAATTACGCAGCCCAGACCCAATCACGCAAGAATCAGACCTGCCCACACTGGAAACACGTGACCCATCCCTTATTTGGCTGGAATTTCGAAACTCAGCCCCACTAACCAAAAGTTTTGAGCCAAACTTCCATGTCCTAATCATAATATCACCGGAATTGAGTGGGTCACTACTATACTGGCTGGAAACAGCCTCAACATCGCCGAAATCATGTGTCCCAGTCTAAACCGCAGCCAAACCGCCAAGCCTAGCCTTAGCCGAGTCGAAAATTGTGAGCCCAGCCCCAAACGTCGCTGCGCGAGACCGCTAGTCCCTCTCCGACCACAGGCCATCGTCAAATCGCCCCTTCCGCTGTGGGTCTTTGAGATCTGGGGCGATTTCGCCCAGACCAGCTCGCCTTCCCTCATCGCGAGCTCTGGAATCGCGTAAGCCCGTCCAAATCCGGTTGGGATCCCACTCAATTTCGGAGGAATCACCTGACCCGGTTCAAATTTGATCGGAATCGGGCCCCTCCGTGTTTCAATCGCACGTATCGTTCCAAGTCCCACCGGGATCTCCGAATCCAGCCTCAGTCGCGCTGGGTTTCGCGCAAACATTTCCCGATCTAGCCCCATTCTTGCTGGCTTGTCGACCTCCAACCATGATCGTATTGGCGTTCTCAATTTTCACCACCAAATTGCCGCTGATTGCCTCAGATCTGAACGATTTCGCAGCAGATCGCGAAAAATTGATCAAATCGTTGTCGTCCTCCCGCGATTCCAGAACTGGTTGCGTTGGCCCACTGCCAGAACCGTGAAGATCTGAATCATTACGTCCCATGGCCAAACCTTCTCATTCTTCTCAGAGAGCAATCTCTCATGCGTTGCTCTGAAACGAAGTTGCAAATTGATCTTAAAAGCACTCCAACAAGCAAATGGCCACCTTATTTCCTCCCAGTGAAACCACTCGAGTGCCAAACCTTCTATGAATTCCTCTGCAAACCATACCTTTTCACGTTCTGAAAATCGATTATTCAGATGATATTCTTCTACTTTTACGATCCAAGAATCCGGATCTTTTCCTGAGAACATCGGCATTTCTAATCGCTGCCAACGTCCACACGTTCCAACCTTTTTTTTTTTTTTTTTGCCCAAGAAAGTACTGCTTTGATACCATTTTGATAAGAACCGAACTTGAATTGAGGAATTGAACAAAAAAGCAAAATTATATTGATGAAGTAATTGAAAGAGATTACAAGATAAATTGACAGACGTTTGAAAGGTCTGCTAGCTCTCCCAAATGTTTTCCCAATTTACTCTAATCCATCCCCCGCCTTTAGTCACTTTCTATTCCTTATATACTACCACTAACTAGCTTAACAAACATAACAAACCAACCCTAATAACAAACTGTTAGTTTACCAATCCATCCCAAAAGCTTAAGCTGTTAAGAGGTGGGCCAACAATAGTTTTTATACTTTAACACTCTCCCTCACGTGTGAGCTAGACAATGGGCAATCGTGTGGGTAAATTAATTGGAAAGCCCAACACGTGAATATTTAAAGTCCGAGATATATTAAAAACCCAACACATGACAATTTTAAATGGGGATAAAGAGTGTAATTACGGGGGTTTGAACTCAGGTTATCCCGCTCTGATACCATGTTAGTTTACCAATCCATCCCAAAAGCTTAAGCTGTTAGGAGGTAGGCCAACAATAGTTTTTATACTTTAACACAAACCACTTATTATATTGATTACTAATTACTAACATAATCCTATCAGTCTCCTAGTTATAGTTTGTGATTTGAATGTACAAATTGATGAGAAATTAATGGAACTGCTTGATTGAGTAATTTCACTTTGTTCGGTTTCGTTGATTTTTTTCTTAACGTTAGTATGGCTTTTAAATATTCAGTCTTTTTGGATGGACTTTGATTAGAAGTTAGAGGCAAGAGTTCTTGAGAGTTTTTTGTGTTTTGTTATTGTTGTTGGGAGTTGTCTATAGTCCCCCAGTTTAAAAATGGGAGAAACTTCCTCCATGTGCCGTAACGGGCTCATGTACCAATCATAATTGGCTGAAAGCCTAGCGTAATTCTTTTATATTGAGTCATAACAGTTACTGTTATGAGAACCATAAGTCGTTTTTAACATATAGCAATAAACGACTGTCATGTACATCTGTCATAAATAATTATATGCAAAATATTAAAAGGCGCATTAATAAATGACTGTCCTTTTTACTATTAATATCAGTCATTCCATCGTAACCGATTGTCATTTTAAATTTGAATAATATTGTTGTCAAGAATTACATATGTCATGTTCTTTTTTTATAGGCACATCCAGTTATACACGAACATTTGTTTGGAGCAGTACATGACAATGATTTATTTACCAATGCTTAAAAATGACTTCTGATTCTTAAAATAGTAACTGTTACGACTTAATACAAAAGAATTACGCTAATCATTTAATCGGTTATGTTAATCTTTTAACCTTTTATGATGGGGGGATTTCTCTCATAAAAATAGTTAGGGACCACAGAACAAGCCTTGGTGTTGATAAATTTAAGTGGAACGTTCTTATTTATCTTGATTTAAGTGCAATCTCAACTCAAATTTATTACATTGACAATATTAAAATATAAACAATGTTATTTCGATATGGAAAATTATTACAAGTTAATTACAAGCTAAGAAACGAAATTACAAGCTAATTACATGCTAATTAACCAAATGGGAAATTATTAATTTATGTCCCAAAAATTGCCCCGTGGTACTAAATAAACATTTTCTAAAACGTCGAGATACTTATTGATGGAGAACACGATTAAAATTATTTTATTTAATGTTTATCTATTATGATTATTTGAGTTCTATTAAGATTATTTAAGATTAAATAGTATTATAAGTTTGATTACTATTAAGACTTATGTGTCTATAAATAGATATTTCTATGTTCATTATTTTTAGACTTGATTAATAATATTGAATATTCATATTCTCCCTTAATTGTTATCTTCTTCTCTCTAATTATGCACATAGATTCATTATTATTGATGTTTTGTAATTTTATGTAAACATGTTGATTCCTATTATGATAACCTTGGTTATCATTATCGGTTGATATTTTCACATCATTCTAAAATTCATGATAATAGGATTCATTTTAAAAAGGTCATCATTCTATAAGCAAACTGGCATCTACCTTGCCTTACCCTATAGCCGAAATAGATAGATTCTCACTATTTGTAGAATATGATATTGGTATCCATATTTGCATTGTAATAAAGTCTTTTTATTTTTTTTTATTTTTTATTTTTTAGTGATTAGATTTTTGTACTTTCCAATGAATCAGTGGATTGGTAATTCAGTGTTAGATTATAATAGATGATTTCCTCGTATTTTTTTTTAAAAAAAAATTAAAAACTCTGACTGTGTTCGTTTTTTAGGACTTAAAATGTCCTCTTTTAAATAAAAACACCAAATTAAATAATAAGAACAAAAGGTCTTCATTTTTTTTAGAATGATGTGTATTTTTTTTTTTTAAAAAATTCCCTTTAACATGTTTTTAGACTAAAATGGCATTTATGACATTTCCTTATCTTAAAAATGGACTTCAAAATACTTAAAAAGACATTCTTTTTAAGTAATAATACATTTGTTTGATAATTGATATTTATCTAAAATTGAGATACTAATCCACTAATTTGATAAAATACAAATATATACATATATATATATATATATGAAAATGTCACTTTTAAAAGTTTTTTCTTTTAAAGTTAGAAAAAATATTGTATAAACACAATGTTGCTAACATCGAATGCATGTTGCGAAAATTAAAAATCATATAAAAATGAAATAGCATAAAAAATTTCATAAAACTTAAGTTAAAAAACGCTCATTGCTATCTCTTCTTACCAATCCTAAAATAGAATTAACGTGTTGATATCCTGTTGCTGTTCCTTTTTTTTTCTTTTTTTCCTTTTCATAAACATTTTGCGTTTTGTTATTGTTGTTGTTATTATTATTATTCATTATTTATTCACTTTGAATAATGATAATAATTTTATTGTCATTATTATCTAACGTTTTTAGCCCATATTAACTTC